AACAATAATCATCTTAATTGTTTGCATTTAATTATTTTGTTTTCTGGGACACTGCTAAATGTAGTTACGAAGGTTAAAAATAAATTAGTGAGATTTTGTGCAATTTAAGTGGGAAAGCATTGTCTTTCATTGCTTTTTTTTTCTTTTTCTTAAAGATACTGTTCTCCTTACGAAAAGGATAGAACTTACCTTACTTTTATACCTCTGATCTCCCAGTTTTAACAGAACAAACATTTCTGCCATGCTTCCTCCTGAGACATTCTTTCCTTCCAATAACATTATGCTGATAATCCCGTTCCACAGTTGGTTCTTTCTCAAGGACTCTGAGAGCCGAAGGGTGCGTATCAAGGAGGCCTAAAGCAGAAAAGACAGATGACATGTAAGCTTGCTGACACGTCTGGAGCGTGACTTTGGGGATCCCAGGAACTCCAGCTCTCACTGCCTGATGTTAAATAACACTGCCTGCCTGGTGGGGAGTATTGTTCTTCATGAGTTTTGCAAGCCTGAACTCACGGTTAATGAGTCTCTGCTCAAGCCAGGGGCTTGTGGCAATGCCACGTCGGTTGGATCTGAGCAGCTCTTGAATAAGAAGCCGCCTTCCAACACTTTGTGGAAAATATCCAGTAATTTTTTATTCCATTTTTCTACACACTTTGTGAAGCTCTCCGTATTTGACAGTGCCCTGTCCTCCCTCGGAGGTGAGCTATTTGGTAAGGTTCCTTAAAGGGATCCATTGGCGATTATGACAGTAGGGCGAAGGGAGAAAGGTGCGAAAGCAAGGTACTGCTTTGTAAAAAAACAAATTGCCTGGTGGCATTTAAAATAGATGGCTTTCGATTTATCCCACACATTGGAATCTGTCCCCACGTCTCTCTATGCCTTTGCTACTGCTAAAAAGCCCAGCATACAGTGAAAGCCCTAACTCCGGACACTGCCTGCAATCCGCAGCTTGCAGATCAGGAATGAGCGGGAATAGGAAGAGTACTTGTCCCGTGGCCTGGAATTGGGTCTAGGGGTGTCAATATCTGTTTGTTTGTTTGTTTGATTATTTGATTGTTTTCTTTCTAAATTAGATTACTTACACAACTCATATACCTCAAACAAAATATTTAAAAAAGATAAATATCCCCTACTGTTAATTGTTGGCGAAGATAGTGTTGATGCTGTTGCAGCGGGCAACACATCAAGTCTAGCTCAGGATGACCCCACTGATACAGAGCAGAACTGTGCTCTGCAGGTTTCCACTGGAGATAACAGACATGAGTTATTGTCCATTTCCGCCATGGACATTTAAAAACCGGCAGAGAGAAAAATGTAACAAATCACCGTGTCCTCTTCATGAGTGTCAACATGTTGACAGTCTTATTTTATCTACTCCTTGTCTATTTTCTCTTGCTGAAACGTTCCAAATCCAAACCCTTCTTTGATTTTACGTAAGAGCCTGTATGATCCCAAGCAACACAACTAACGATGATTTCCTAAATATCATCAAATACTCCGTCTAAATTCCTGACCACGTCTTTGTCACAACACGGTAGGGTGAGATGGGTCCCCATGTGATCTACACCTGCTGCGTGTCGTTGGCAGTGTCTGCGTCCATTCATTCTCCCATCGATGGGCGAAGGGGCAAAAGCACCAACTTCTCTATGTGAAGCAGAAGTGTGCCGGCTGACGCATATAAATGGCATTAGGTATCACAGGAGAACAATGCATTTCATTTACTAGCGATCCATTCCTGTCATCTGTTCAGAATATATTCTAGCTTGTTCAGATGCCCATTTGCGGGGGCACCAGTGACTCACAACGAATCAACCACAAATGGCATGTCAGGACCACGTTCACAACGGAGCACCTGTCTCTCTACTCTTCCTGATGCACGTGGCCACAATGCCACGCCAAGCGTTCAGTGGATAATCTTCTAACAACCTTAAATAAACTACAGCCATGGAAATGCAGATTCCCAAACTGTATTACTTTCCTCTTAACACACACACACACACAAAAAAAAAAACTATTGGAGAAATTGATACTGTGTGGCGCAGAAAAGTGGAAAATGAATTAATAAAACCAAAAAAACCAAAACAAACCCGGTTCTTTTAGAGTGAACATAAACGATTGTTTCTTAAATTCTCTCCCAGTAGGGTTCTGCATAGGATATACCATATATACTCAAGTATAAGCCGACCCAAATATCAGCCGAGGCACCTGATTTCACCACAAAAACTGCATTAAAAATGTGCTGAAAACGTGGCTTATACACGAGTATATACAGTATTCGATCATGGAAGTTTATGAAAGAGTTAA